AATAAGAAATATATACGTTACATGATAAGTCCTTGACGAAGAATGCCAAATTATTGCTTTTAGGAACTATTGACATAAATTTAAATTTATTACATCTTATTTCACATTTTATTTTCATCCACAAATTTTATTTCCATTTTGTATCTAAGTTTATTAAATTATTTAAACATTTTGAAGCAATAGTATAATAATTAAAAACTAAATGATATACATAATCATATTTAATAAAAAAAAATAAAATAAAAATAAAAATAAAATATGTGTTTATTAATACTTTTCCACCATTTTCCTGTTATTAATGTTATTATGCTATATCTTTTATTTATCTCTTATAATCTTTTATTCTTTAAATTAAATATTTATTTTTATTATAGTTTATAAGTAATATTTTAATAATATATTAAATTATAATTTATATGGTATGTAATATTATCCACGCAGTTGACTGTGACATGAACTGTTGATACGTGTCCTTTAAATGACAATTTTATTATCGCGATGAGTTCAAAATATACAGATACGAAAATCAAACTATTGGGAAGGGCGTACATGATAGTGCGCACTTGACAAGATTGAGAGGTAGGCGGAGTTTAAGGAATCTATATAACGAATAATGTGTTAGCAGCTGTGTAGCAACTACGTGAAATTATTCCTTAGATTTATGTGAACAATTATAATCGAACAGTGCTTCAGAGCTGTTACACGAGAAAAATTGACGGACAAAGCACAAGAAAAAATGGACAGTGAAGGTAATGTTTAATATACACTGTTTAATATTAATTAGTCACTCGATTTCAATATTAATTTGGAAAATTTAATTTGAATTTTGTAGAATCTTTATAATATAAAATGCAGTTAACTTTCCTTCTATGAAACTGTAACAAGATTAAAATTAATATAGTTTTGCTAATTTATATTAAAAAAAAAGAAAAAGCTCTGAAATTAATATATTATTTATATTTCCATTTGAAAATTTGTACAGATTCTTAAAAATAAAATCAAACGCGCATTTTTGTATAATTTTTTTTTAACTTTAGCAACATAGTTATGTAACAAATTAATTAATTATAATTAATGTGAAAAACTCCAGTGATTAATAAAATGAAATAAAATTCGAGCGTAAAGAGCTACAATGCAGGTTCTTTATGCGAAGGTTACTGTATTCTCGTTTAAAATTATTTACAAACATTTCTGTCTGTTATCAGGCTTTCATCGGTGTTAATAAGAAATAAAATATACAAAAATTAAGAATTCTTACATATGTACGATTTGGATTATTTAACCATGGACTCAACTTATTTTGAATCTTATACTCTTCTAATGATGTAACGGTGCGTTATTTTTACGTCTCACGGGCGGTGCGTAACGATGCGAAATTTCGACGGTGCGTAGTTAGTAAAGCGGATTCTTACGACGCGGAATAACTCGTCGGTTTGCTAGAATTCGTTCGTGTAGTTTATCGGGAGACTCCAAATTGACAAAAATAATTTAAAGTAACAAAATAAATATTTATTCAAGAGAGCACTTGGACTAATAATATAATTATAAAAGAAAACATTAACAATGAGTACATGAGTATTTCTTTAACGGTTAAACTATCTAATGTCTTAACGGTATAAATGGGTACAAATATCGGAAATAAACGGATAATGAGTAGACTGCGTAATTTCTTAATTGTGTCGCGCGTTTGGCCGCAATTTAAATAACTATAAATATGATTAATCCTATTTAATTCTAAATCGGTCGGTTTGTACGGTACGGAGTCAAAATATTAAAAAATAAGCGATACCGCGTATATCCGAGCCCTGCTGAGTCGTCGACGGTTGCCGGTGCGCTGTGTCCGAAGACAGTGAGAGACTTCTCTCGTGCGAGGGATATAGGAAGTCGAACGCCGGGAACACCCGACCGAGGCAGAGAACGCCCTGCCCCTAGAACGACGAGGTATAGGAAGTCAAACGCCGGGAACACCGAGGCAGAGAACGCCCTGTCCCTAGAACGACTATCGGGATGGGAGCGAGTACGACCGGAGCTTCAGAGTGCGCCCTGAGGCTTGTCCGAGTCGTACTCGGGGGAATGGTATCGGTCTGCTCCGCGAACCGGCTTTTATACCGGTCGCGTAACCAGTGTTGCTAGACGGAACGCTTTTTCTCGCGCATGCGCAGCGCTGCAGCTATGAATCCAGCGGTGTATACGGCTATATATAGTGTTGGGTGCTGGCGCGAGAAGTTAGACGTTTGACAGGCTACAGGAGAAGGT